ATTAAATAGAGGAATTCGGTTTTTCTTTTCAGCAATAACATGATAAGAGCATCCCTTTCACAAAAACCAACGGACCCCCCCTATCCTGCCACTTCAGCACCTTGTGATCTTCTCAAAGATCATTACGAGCCCTCTCCTAGAATGTTTTTGTAGATTCCGAAAATTCCATGGTGGATCAGGACGAGAATGAATCCGGGAATCCAGGACATACTCATCCTGGAGCTTCTGCTCTCCTCTGGGGAGGGGTTTTTATAGATAGAGAGGTGAGTCGAGGGTAGCCTCCCGCTTGACCGATTTCTCGGAGTCGGAGGAAGATCTCTCATCTGATGACCCTGAACAAGAAGGAGCTGCTCTCGATGTGAGATCAGCAGCAAAAAAGAGGAATTGGATGCCCCAGAGCCCGGATAAGCCTTAAAAAAAAACACACACAACGGACCGGACACAAACAAAAGAAAGAAGAAAAGGGCCATGATGATGATGATCCTATGTTCGTTTTCGCCCTGCCCCGATGATGCGCTCCTAGCTCGCGGAGCTACATACCAGAAAAAGAATCTCTCTATTACTTTAGAATCGTTGGTTTGACCTATACGGACTACGTGGGAAATACGAGATCTAGGCAAGCCGCTACATGTTCTCCCCTTGCCCTTGAACGATAGAAGAACTACTTATCTTCTTCTTCTCTTCTCTTAGATAGCAGTCGATCGGTTCGCATCTATGGTCAATCAATTGGTCCGCGGATCTATTCTTCTATACGAGAAATCGCCATCTCGTAGCACCACCACGACGCCGATTCTCGTTATTTTTCCGAGCCTCCCATGCCGCTTCGACTTTGAGTATGATGAATGAGTGGAAAGATCTTTATAGAAGTCCCTGTCCGATCCAACCAAAGAGTTAGTATATATAATATATAGATATAGATCTTTTAGATAAGGGGGAGAACTTCAAGTTTTTTCAGAAAAGACTTGCAGCTCCCCTATCCGAATCCCGCGAGGGACTAAGCGCGAGACGAGCCATAACATAAGGGGCGAATCTACTCTTCGTAGAATCGACCATAGATATCTTCTTTTTTCGGTATATTTGCATCAGGCTTAGCCCCTACTAGTAAGAAGGCGTTCCCGAAAGGGGACGGAAACCTGTCTAAGATCCTGTGTGCGGCTTAGTAGCGCGTGAACAGAACACGTAGCCTAAGCGGAACTCAATATTCAACCAACCTATGATCCATTTATTTAATCCGCTTACTATCAATAAACCATGTTTAGGTTCTCGTTTCGGGAGATCTTGGAACGTGCCCGTCGTGTGAATGCGCATACAAATAGGGTCACTATTCGCCTAAGGGCGGAGAGTGGATTCTAGATTATATCAGTCGGGTAGGCTGGACTGGGAAAATCTCTACGAATTCTTCTTTGCAAGAAACATCCCTGGGTTTAGTGATGTCTCCGGCTGGGATCTCCAGATCGAATAATTGGTTTACAAGACGCTCTTAGGGGGTCTGGTCTTGTCTTCTCGGATTCCAGCTTTTGACTTTTCTTATAAAAAGCTTTGACCTACTCCCTGAGCAGAGATGTACGCTTTATACAGGTTGTGGGGTCATGTATACTCATGGGATGGCTTTTTTTTGGAGTTTCATTGCATCCAAATCAATCAAGATCTAAGTAGTTGTTCAGTAAACTATTATACTTCTCGCATGCAGTACCCGAGTCTTGTCTTGCCCATTTAAGGAATATGGAGGAGGTATGTGTCCTCTCGGTCGCCTTGACCAATCACAGATCAGCCCGACTAACGGTCGCTTTGATCCGTTACAGATCAGCTCGAAAGTACCCCTTTCCATTATGATAGGGGTGGATGGTAGGGCTAGAACAGGCATAATCGCTTGAACGGCTAGAAGTGGGCCGACTATCTTCCAACAAAAAAAGAATATATGAATATATTCTAATATATGGATATTCGGCGTTTAATGATTTAGTATAGTTCTAGACTCAAGCTAGCAAAAAACAAGACTGAGGTCGATAGGGGCATTACTGGTAATTTAATTGCTAAGGTGCTTTCTGAAGTATTAACCATTGGCTAGCGCTCATCTCCAGCTCTGTTTCCAGCCTTTTATTTCATATATCATTCCCGTATGCCATACCTCTTATTTAATCTTGCTATACGTCCAAGCCTTCTCCCATCGGTAGTTGGAAGCAGAACTGAGACTGGATTGAAGGAAAGGGGATATAGGTACGATAGGAGGGCACGGTTAAGCAGGTAAGCGAAGGCTCTCTCTCTCGCTCTGTGGTCTTGTGTAAAGCCTTTCCGCCCATTATTATTATTTATCTTCATTCTAAGTGAGCAAGCAGGTCGAAAGCTGTTGAGGTGATAGCAATAGTAAGCAGGGAAGCAGAAGCAAGAAGTCTTGAACTCTTGTGTAATAAAGCTTCTCGGTCGCATTTCATTAGTCTCTAAGGCGCTTAATCGTTCATCGATCTTTTCTTCAACCGGTCATATCAGATCTGTAGCTGGT